GGTTTTTGAAAAAACAGGCACCTTCCCTGTCTTTGAAGACTGGCTTCATCCATTAGACCATCACGCATTAGCAGGTCATGTTCTGTGCCTGGGATCACCTCAGCATAAAGGCCTGATGTATTCTTGGGCATTTCTAGGGATGCGTGCTTTCTGGATGTGTGAGTGTGTGTGTGTGTGTGTGTGTGTGTGTGTGTGAGCATGCGTGCATTTGTTTCCCCAAATACATGGCCCAAATTCACGGCCCAAATCATGTTTCCTTTTAGAAAAACCCAAAGAATATAGTAGACTTAAACTGTGTTTAAACAACACTGCAGGACATTTTTTTAAAAAGGACAGATTCCACAAAAATTTTAAATTGCCTAGATGATTTATTGATGCCTTCTGTAGACCACAAAAAGTCATAGACAGCACACAACTCATAAAAGTTAGGGTACAAGCCTGACTACCAGAGAATGTACACATATATTTTAAGAATCCATAATTGTATTCAACAAAGGTAAGTGCAGTTTTTATTTTAAGTAATGATACCTATTGAATTCTATTCTTATGCCTGTAAAAGTATTTATGGTTCTACACCTAAAAGCCATATAACTATAACTTCTTTATAAAACTCTTGATAGTTGGCAAGACTAAATCATATATAACATAAACATATAGTATCTGGAATTATTATATTTGGGAAAAAAGTCTTGGTCAAAAGTGCTAACGAATTTGTATAAAAATAATTATGGTATCTTAAGATTTCATTGACACTTCAAACTACATTGGAGTCGGGCACGGTGCCTCACACCTGTAATCCTAACACTCTGGGAGGCTGAGGTAGGTGGATCACTTGAGGCCAGGAGATTGAGACCAGCCTGGCCAACATGAAGAAACCCTATCTCTTAAAAAAAATACAAAAATTAGTTGGGCATGGACGCATATGCCTGTAATCCCAGATACTGGGGAGGCTGAGGCATGAGAATCATTTGAGCCTGGGAGGCAGAGGTTATGGTGAGCTGAGATCATTGTGCAACCGCACTCCAGCCTGGGCAACAGAATGAGACTCTGTCTTTAAAAAACAAACAAACAAACAAACAAACAAACAAAAAACTGCATTGGAGTGCTAAACTCATGGGAGGGAGAAGTCAAGGAGAAAGATCGATATGGAAAACCCATGGTGTTTTTTTACAGAAATATTAAAAGTTGCCTAAAAGATTTTATCCAAAATAACACAGAACTGTACAAAGATACCTAGTAAATAAGCTGTGAAGGTATGATGTTGTGAAAACCGCATCTGACTTCACAAAAATTGTATCTGTCAAGAAGTAAATCATGTAAATATATAATCAGAGATACAAATAATTCTCTGTCTTATAACGGCAATTTTCTTGTAATAAATCCTAGCAAGACTGTTTTCATTTATTATAGTCTGTGTTTTCTTGTTTCTATTGCAGTTTGGAAGCTTTTTGTTGAGGCTTAGTGGTAAAACTTGTGTTGCATTAACTTGGCTTCCTGTATCTAAATGTATGAAACTATGTAAGTTGATTTTATCACAAAAAAAGTATACCTCTCATAACAAAAAAATGTGGAATATACGACTATTTTAATTAATCATTTTTGTTCCCATGATTATAATGCCAGCACTTTCTTAGCTTTACTCTGTGAACCCTTGAAATTGTGGAAGTCTGTGTTAAAACTTGAAAAAAAAAAAACAAATTGGGCTGCATGTTTTAGCACCACAGAATGTTCACAGTAGAACCAGCCTTATTATGGTTTAAAATGTTTATATCAATTTAAATAAACCACTAAAAATATAAATTTAATTTATATTATCTGATATAATCTGTGGCACAGACTACACAATTACATACTTACATGCATATCCTATAAGTAAATGTTCAACCTCATTTTCTGACATAATTACACTCCCAAATTTACTGATTTTTAAAATTCTCATACTCTTTTTTAAAAAGAGAAAAATAAGAACTTTACACATACTAAACAAATGCGTAGTATAGTAGTTAAACGCATCAGATTAGATGTCAGACAGATCTCGGTTCAAACTTTAAATCTACTATTTATTAATTATGTGACCTTGTCCCAGTTACTTTACATCTCTAAACATCAGTTTCCTCATATGTAAAATGGGAATAATAATAGTATCAACCACGTAGGGTACAAGATAAAATGTGATAATGCACTTACCACATTGCTTGCCATATGTTAATTATTCAATAGGAGTCAGTTGCAAGTATGGTAGTTTTATTTTAGTATTATTGCTATAATTCAGTATTATTTTTATTACTAACATTATCACCCTGTTATTACGCTATTATTGTCATTTTCCTTGAAAAGGCATTAAGAAAATGACTAGTGCTAAAATATGATTTTCAAAAACTTAAAATCATGGCTTTCATGCAAATATAAAATGACATGTTTTATGTATGTAACAAAATATCACACGTACCCCATAAATGTGTACAAATATGTATCAATTAAAAAATTAAAAAATATAAAATGAACATGTGTTAAACATTTCATGTGATTCATAGATAAAGAAAACAATTATAAGATGTTAAAACAAGTTCAAAAGGTACTTAGAATAAAAGGTACTTAGACAACTTTGAATACTGAAATAATTTCTCAATAGATGCAAAACTAGTTGAAATTATATAATATAACAATAAAAGATAATCTTTGGGAGTCATTATTTCTACATTGTGGAAATCAATTCTATTGCTATCAGGCAAAATGAATTTGTATTGTTATAGAAAAAAATCACAAGGAAACTCAGTTTTTTACAACTTCCACACACACAGAGTTATAAAATAGGCTTGTCAGTAGAAAGTAACTTAAAGGGGCTGGGTGCGGTGGCTCACGCCTGTAATACCAGCACTTTGGGCGGCGGAGGTGAGCGGATCATAAGGTCAGGAGATCAAGACCGTCCTGGCTAACACGGTGAAACCCCGTCCCCACTAAAAATTTTAAAAAATTAGCCAGGCGTGGTAGCGGGCTCCTGTAGTCCCAGCTACTCGGGAGGCTGAGGCAGGAGAATGGCGTGAACCCGGGAGGCGGAGCTTGCAGTGAGCCCAGATCGCGCTCCACTACACTCCAGCCTGGGGGACAGAGCGAGACTCCGTCTCAAAAAAAACAACAACAACAAAAAAAAAAAAACAAAAAAAAACGCATTTAAACACTTAAAGGTCCACACAACCTCTATGGAATCAGATAATCCTCATTTCCATGCCTTGAAGAATTTTTCTGATGCTATTTTTTTTTTTCTTTTTTTCTGCTAAAACACTTTTGGCATACCCAATTGCTTATGATAATAATTTAAATTAAAGTTTTCTAAAACCATCACATTGGTTGGGTTAGGGATCACTATTGCTATAATGTTAATGAGAAAATTGAGGCACATAAATCAAGCAAATGATTCCTAGTTACTCTAAGTGGGAAAATAAGACCATGACTCATTCTCCTGACTTCCGGCTCCATTTCATTTCCATTAGAATATATATACTTACATTCAAAGTAAGGGGAGACAGAAAAGCAAAAGAGAAACAAGGAAGAGAAGTAATGCTATTTTAATTTGAATATGCGGTGACTACTTTTGTCTTTAATAACTGCTCCTGTGTATCTTTACAGATGATAACCATATTACCAATTAATTTTTCTTCAGAAACTTCAACATTCCCCAAACTCCTCTTCTTAATTAAGCAGTATCCAGATAATAATAATGTTAACCAGATTTTGAGCATTAGTTACCATGCCCATGCAGAAAAGTCTTGGGTCTTTGGATGCAAATTTATGAGCAAATCCTTCTATGAGTTTCGGTTCATGATTCATCTGTGTGTGTACCCTGACTGTCAGCTGAGTGAAGCATCAATTAACAATAGCTATTGTTTTGAAGATTTGGCTTAGTCAGAGCATGCAGCTATGGATTTTCTGGTTCTGACTTTTACCATAACATCTGAATTTAAAGTGATATGCTACGTGACACTCGATGATATAGAATTTAAGTTGTCTGAGTTATTGCTGATTTCAGATACTATTTTTAAAATTCTAGATGTGAGACCGATTTCAGATGGAAGCTGAAATCAGATGATTTAGAGTATCATTAAAGAGATACAAACAGTGGTTAGAGGGGGTAATACAAATATATCAGTGGAAAGTGATAAATGAAAATCTCCTTTGTAAAATAAATATATTTCATTAGACTTTTACAAAAAGGCCAATATAAAGTCAGGGAGCATTTTTGTGTATAATTATATGAGTTTTCTTCATTGTTCAACTTTTAGATTTTAGTGTTATGTATTTTTAAAAATAAGCTTCAAAGGTTAGGAAAGAATTTCTAGAAAATATGTTAATTAATATTACTTACTGTATTATTTTTCATTTTGCTTACTAAAGAGGTTTGGGGATAAGGAGTTAACTTCAGATTAAAATAGAAAACAATAAACCTTAACTCCACTGAAGATAAATAAGAACTCTCAGCAGGGAAAAACACAGGATAAGTCTATGACCATTCTATCCGCAAAGAGTATTAAAACCAAAGTAGTACATTTCATACAGCAAAAATAGAAAGGCAATTATATTCAGGTTTACTTTAAAATGAGTTCTCATATAAAAGAGGCATCTTATGTATAACTTTGACAAATAAATAATAAAAGAAAAACAAAAGCTCTTCAATCAGACTACTAAATGAGAGGAGACATTTTTTATATCATGCCAGGATCACAATATGTGAAATTTCCTCAAAGTTTATCTGAGTGTTTATTAATGAAGTGCATGGTATCTTGGAAAGGGAAACTTGTTCAATATGCTTTGAGAGACACCTAGTGGCTGAAGGTAATTTTGTCATGTACATAGCCTTAATATTATCCCATCTACACTTAATATTTGTATAAAGTGTTTTTAATCCTGTGTTTCAGATAGGTATACATTTTGAGAATGTCTATTATTTTCCATTGTAACTCTATTGGACTTTTCCTCCCAATTGTCTTTCTAAATCCTTTAAGGTATGATCCAAAAAGTGACTCATGGTCAACTGTGGCACCTCTGAGTGTTCCTCGAGATGCTGTTGCTGTGTGCCCGCTTGGAGACAAACTCTATGTGGTTGGAGGATATGATGGACATACTTATTTGAACACAGTTGAGTCATATGATGCACAGAGAAATGAATGGAAAGAGGTATTCAAATTAAAATATTCAAATTACTATATTTCAGGTTTTAAAAAGAATATATTAAAATATATTTTTGGAATTAATTGTATTCTCTTCTCTAGGCCCTCACAAGATCTTTTAGTGAATTTTATAGTCTGTGCTCTATTTATACCTTAGAGAATTACTAGTTGATCTAGTTGATATGATATGACATGATAGTTGATAGCAGGAGCCATCAGTACTTACATAAAAGAGGACAGACCACTCTCTTGACTTCATGAAAGCATTCCCTTTAAATAAAATAAGCGAATCCAATCAAATACTTCAGCAATAAATAAATAAGTAAAATAAAGGACTTTACCATGGCCAACGTTTTATGTATATGTTGTGACCTGAGAACCAAAGGGTAACATCCTCTTCCACAAATATCTGCCTTTATTATTGGCTGGCACCCAGGAGAAAAGCCTTCAATCTTTGCCATATAGAAACTGTGTAGACTGCATTACTCCTAAATTCTTCAGTCAGTCAATAATTTAGTAAACAATAAGGGACCAGAATTTAAACCTCTCAAAAGGGCTGGGCGTCTATTAGAACTAATTTCAAGGAGAATGCAAAAAATAACATTGAAATGGCATCTTTGAGATGTTAAAGGCAAATTTGACCCTTTTGACTACTTTGCCAGTGATAGCACTAGATTTATTCTAAAATATCTAATAATACTTTGTCAATTAAATGATGAGTTAACAAAAAACATAAAGTATGATTAACTCTTTACCATCTCCACAAACAGGTAAACCTTGTATTTGGTATCTAACTTCATCTTCCCTTCTGCTGACTTCATGCTACTCTGTATTCTACAGGGTACAGCTGGCTATTGCTCTAAGTAAATTAGTGTTAATGTAATGACAGCTGATAATGAGATTTTAATCTCTCTGCTCCAATAATCTGACTCATTAAGACTCAAAAACCCTCAAATGCTACAATGTAGGGTAGCTCCTATTTTATCAATGCTTAGGACCACCCAGAAATAGAAGGAAAAAAAAATAGCATGCAAGGTGTTAGGTCAAATATAATAATCAAGATGCTTGACCAGCTTGTGGGATTTACTTTTCTGAAGATTTTAGGCAAGTAGCTAAGAGTCCTAGATTATATTTCTGGCTGTGTCACTGTTTTATTGTGTGATCTTGAAAAGAGTGAAAGAGAACTAACAGATGGTGGAATTATAACTACTAAATGCAAATTGTTATTCATTATTTCAACCATCACAACACAAAAACTTTGACGTGTTAGTATAATTAGCTGTAATTTTTCAAGTGAGAATATTATCAGAGAGATGAAATTTACTTAAGATCACCTGATCCTCAATCTCAGGTTTTTACCATTCTGAAGGCTGTGTTTTTTTCCACCACACTACACTGTTATCTGGGCTGTAAATTATCTCATCTTCAGACAAGGTGATGTTAGACCAAAATAAGTAAGGACTTCTTCAACCATAGTGAATATAATATTTTATATTATGCTAAAATCAGAGTTCCAACAGTGTTTTGTTTCTTGTTTTGTGTTTTAGGAAGTTCCTGTTAACATTGGAAGAGCTGGTGCATGTGTTGTAGTGGTGAAGCTACCCTAAAGCTATCTATTTTTATCAAATGGAATGAAACTGGATAATTTCAAGAAACTGAGTAGGACAAAGGGAGAAAGAAATACATGTTCTTTTTCCTACAATTAATGATCAGACTGGAAAACTGTTGTATTGTTTTAATTTGTAGTTATAATTGCTTTCATTTGTGAAGCCAAAACTTTTTAAACATGAATTATATATGAATTATTAAGCATATGTATTATTGCAGCTGATAATATAAAAGGAAACCCCGTACTCTAGATATAGCCCCATTACTACAAAATGCTAAAATATTTAATGAAAACTGGTGATGATGATGTCCACAGTGTGCAGGTTATAAAAGCATTAATACATTTCAAGGTAAGAGTCTTAGAAGTTAAAAACATTTTCAGTTTGTTTTTTTTTTTTAAACATACTCTTATTATCTGGAACATAGAAATATAAAAGGTAACATCTGAAGCTTAAAATAGAAAGTCTGATTTTTAGTAAGCCATTATTCTCCTATTCAGATAATATCCCAAAGAGCTAAACAATTCCTCACATTTACCAAGAGGAAAGCTTTTACTGTGTTGAAGCTAAAAAAAAAAAAAAGAAAAAGAAAAAATAGCTCTTTGACAAAATTTGTTATGTTGATCGTGGTATGTCAAAATTTTTACAGGTTTGCTCATCTGCCAGAGCACACATATAAAATTTGGTATTTCTTAACATATTGTCTCATTAGATTTGTTACCAGTAGAATATTATTGTAATTTCATATACACAGCCTATACAATGAAATAATGAATATTTATCATATTGATACAAACTGTGACCTCAGCTACAGAGTGCCAGGGCTTCACTTGTATAGAATGTAATGTTCTCCTCAAGCATTTATGTTAACTCTATGAACACATGTCGTTAAGTTAAACAAGTTTTCAAAAACAAAACGATTTTTAAAGTACATTAAAATTGAGGACGTTATTCAGTGTTAACACATGGGAAAACCAAAATAATCAATAAGCTTGGTCAAATACGATAGTTATCTTTTTTGTACCAGTACATACTTTTCTGTTACTGTTATATTATCCAGTAGAAAACGTTAGGATATGTGTGCTATACAAAAAAAAAAAAGACTTTTTAAGTTTTAAAATAACAAAAATGGCTAGTTGAATAGTATTTTATGTGTCATGCTTCCATTTATTCCATTTAATTATACAACTAAGATGAAATATTGAAAAACCCTTTATGAAAGTAACTTTTCAAGTAAATGCACAATTTTAGAATTTCTACAATAAGTTCTTTTAAACAGACTTTTTATTGTGGATTGTGAAATCAAAATCTGGAGAAATGCTTATAAAATATACTACTAGCTTTTAAGTTTTAAGAAAGAACAACGTAAGTTGTACAAAGCTATTTGTACTTTGACAAATTGAATTTAAATAAACTTTATTTCCTCTCCTTATGGTGTGGCTTTAGAATATATCAAGTACAACCTGAATGGATGTTTTGATTTTACATTTCCTATATCACTAAAATACTTAAACACAAAAATAAAATTCCATTTATTTATTTCTTCTTACACCTGCCATTGTTTCTAATTCTAAATAGAGAGCTATAGAGCTATAGATTTCTGCAGTTCTAGAGGTGAAGATAGAGACACGGAGAGGCTGTGAAACACACATATAGCCCTGTTAGGTCTTTTGAATTCACGCCTTGTTGAAATCAGTGTAGAAGTAGAGTTACCTAAACCTTTATCGCCAATGCACAGCTTGGCCTGTTAATTTAAATGGGGGTGTCAACCAGGGGAAAAGATCAAAGGACCTTTTGCAGCCTAGCTTGCCAATCCTCCAGTAACAACTAGGTGCTACCAAGAGGCAGACTGTGTCTACAGTCATTCATGGAGAAGAGGAAAGTAAAAGTTGAATACTCTCTTCTCAATGGCATAGCTGGACTTGATTGTATTGACTCGTAGAAGAGACATGTATGTTTCCCAGGATTACCACTTCACAGCTGCATTTAAAAATGGTGTTCAGGCCACTATGGCTGCTATGGTTTGAATATTTTTTTCCCTCGAAAACTCATGCTGAAACTTAATTCCTAATGTAGTAGTATTGAGACGTAGGGCCCTTAAGAGGTGATTGGGCCATGAGCTTGTGCCCTCCTGAATGGATTAATCCATTCATGGATTAATGGATTATCATAAGAGTGGGGGACTGGTGACTTTATATGAAAAGGAAGGAAGAGTGACCTAAGCTAGCATGCTCAGGGTGCCTATGCCCCCTGGTCATGTGATGTTACGTGTTATCTTGGGACTTACCTGACAGCTCTTACCAACAGGAAGGCCATCCCAGATATGGCCCCTCAACCTCAGATTTCTCAGCCTGCCTAACTGTAAGAAATTATTTTTATTTGTAAATTACCCAGGTTCTGTTTTAAGCCTCAGAAAATGAACTAAGACAATGCCCTACATGAGCTGCCAAAATCTGAGCAGATGTGAGCCATCAGAATAGAGACCTGCGGAGGCCCAGGGCACTGAAACATAACTGTGCTTGTCTCAGTCAAACTTGGTTGGGAAAAGGAGGAGCAAGAGTGGGCCCTTGTTGCCATGCTTTAGCAGAGATAACCTATCGGGGCTAGTTTAAACAAATATATATAGGAAAGGGAGTTATTATATATTCTTTCAAGAGTATAAGGGTTCACACATTTACTATACTCAGATCTGAAAGACAATGTTGCTGCTTCTTGATTTGTTTCTATAATCACTATGACCATGTTCAGGATTCCCTACTCTGCAACTCTCAGCATGCATCATGATGATTCTCTAACACTGTCTGCTACCTTCCTGTATTTCCACAGGGCATGCAAGAACTTCCACAAAACTTCTATACCACACAGAAGCTGAGGGAAACTCTGGGGCACTAAATGCAGATCCTTTCTCTGCACAACAATGTCACTTATCAATCTGACTCAGGTGTGGCTATTGTCCCTTTTTGATATGGAGGGAACACTGAAAGACAGTTTCCTTTTGGAGTTCCAAATGCAATATAGAAAAAAAACCCTGTGACTCTGGATTTTATTTTAAGTTCTCTAACAAGACTCCTACCTTGAGATCTTAGTCTAGGTAAAGGAAAAAAAAAAAAAGGCCATGAAACACGTGTGTCCTAAACTGTCATCATTCTATGACTACTTTCTCCCAATCACATCACCTCAGGTAGAAGGGACAGATTTTTCAGTTGCTATTTCTCTTCGTAATGAACTTTCTTTACATCCTGTCCACATTGCTAGAGACACTAAGTCCCAACCTAAATGATGGAAGGAGCATCTCCCCTCTTGTCTATGGAAGATATCACATGAACTACCTAATTTGCAAGCACAGATCTCCATATTTTAAAGGAGAGTTTTTAAAATGTTTTTAAAATTTCAAATATCTCACCATGATGAATTATGTGTAAGGTGATAATATGTTTAATTAGCTTGATTTAATCATCCCACACTGTACACATATACCGAAATATATTATACCCCATAATATATATAATTATGATTTATGAATTACAGTAATATTAATAAAAGTGTTAAAGCTCTTTCTCTCTTGACAATGCTTGTTTTTCAGGATTATGGCCTGCTACAGACTAGGAAAAAGTCCTGCTCACATTGTTAAATGTTTAATATTGACACTCGCTTTTGTTTTCTGTCATAATCCTAATCCCCTCCCTTAACACGCACACAGAAACACACACACACACCTACACACACACAGAGCACATGTAAACAATGAGGGAAATGGGTACATATAGCTAAATATGGGGAAGGTTATAAATGGGTAAATATTAAAAAATAAAAGCACATTAGTATTTTTCAGATATTAGCCCCTTGACGTAAACATCTATTAAAGATCTACTGTGTTTAGGACCCTAGTGGTATACACTAATTAAAACTAAGTTTATGAAATTTGTACAAAATCCAAGTCTATAAAATTTGGATTATATTTTAAGTAATGGAGAATCAGAATTAAATGGCCTCACCTATACAAAAGCTACCTGAGTTTGCCAAATTTACATTTCATCTAAGACCATGGAGACCTTCATTTAAATAGCCCTGTTTCATATGTTAAATTCAGTTTATAGCTGTGTGGTTAAAAAAGCCTAACTTGACCAGAGCTAATTATATCTTACCAGAATGGGAACACATGAATTCTGGCCATCAAATCACAACTAGTCTTATTTTAAAATAAACTGGAAAGATAATATCATATGGAGATCTTTGAAAGCCGTATCTTCACAAATCCACTTATACTTGTTTCAGTTTTGCCAAGTCTGCATAATGAGATGAGGCTGAAAAGCCAGTCAGGCTGAGAAAGTTCATATGAATTCATAGAATCATCCTGGCTAATCCAATGCATAGTGACTTGCCCAATTGAGAGAAGGTCTGAGTCAGTAGATACAGACAATTCTCCTCCTCTAAGCTATAATCTCTCGCATGAGTTTTAGTTTTACTCATTATAGTATCCTCAGTGTCTGTCCAGATTCTAATACAAAATTGATATTCAGTAAATAATTGTGGAAAAAATGAATGAATAGATTTCCGATGGCATCAAAGACTGGGTATTTTATGAGAATGAGATTCAAATAACAGCACTGGAAACATCGCCAAATAAGTAAAGGCAGAGGTCTGTCTCTCTGATACTATCCACAAATATATACACACATGAAAAACACAGAGAGATGAGATAAAATAACATGAAATTTAGGTACATAGCTATGCTCCATAGAAATAAAGGCAAATCTCCAGATGCTAGAAATCAGAGGGAACTTACAAAACAATAATAAACTCAGATGGCAACAGAGATCATCTTAGAGTTAATGAACTTAGTTATATCCACTAAGGGCAAAGATTTTAACACCCATGTGTAGACAAGAATCATTAAGACATGGTCTTGAGACTTCTCCTAGGTGAAGAGAGCCAGGAACATCCGGAAATGGACACTTTAAGTACTTAAAAATTCACTGGGGAGGGAAAGTAGCAGATGAGTCACAAATAAGAAGATAATAAACTGGAGGGAAGGTCTGAGTACACTACACAGAGTACAGCACAAAACGTTTAATCATGGGAAATATATATATAAAAAAAAAGAGGAGTAGAAGATAGAATGAGATGGTCACATTTGAGATTCTTCACATTTAAAAGTACACTGATCTTGCAAAACTGACTGAAGTTTATATGGGAAAGCAAAATACCCAAAATAGTCAACACAAAATTAAATAACAAAATTAGAGGACTCGCACAACCCAACTACAACTTACTATAAAGCTACAGTAATCAAGAGAGTGTGAAACTGGCAAAATAATAGACAAATAGATCAATAGCACAGAATGGACATCTTAGAAATAGACCCACATAACTGTAGTCAACTGATCTTTGACCAAGGACCAAAGGCAACACAATGGAAAAAAGATGGGCTTTTCAACAAATGGTGCTGTAAAACAAGACATCCATATTTAAAAAATGAATCTAGACAGACATTTCACTCTTCATAAAAATTAACTTAAATTTGATCACAGATCTAAATGTAAAATGTAAACCTAAAATCTCCTAAAAGATAACATAGGAAAAACTTTAGATCACCTTGGGTTTGGTAATAACTTTTTAGATACAACATTAAAGACACAGTCTATGAAACAAAGATTTGATAAGCTGAGCTTCATTAAACTCATAAACTTTGCTGTGTAAAATACACTGTCGAGATAATGAAAGGAGAAGCCACAGACTGGGAACAAGTATTTGCAAAAGGCATGTCTGATAAAGGACAGTTATCCAAAATATACATAGAAATCAACAATAACATTCTGAACAGACACTGTCTTAGCTTGGGCTTCCATACCAAAAATATCATGGACAAGTTGGTTTATAAGCAACAGAAATTTATTTTGTGTTTTAGACTGCCAATTTCTCTTTGTATCTTCACACAGTGAGGAGCAGAAAGAAGGACATTCTTTCAGGATTCTTAGAAATGTATCATCCCATTCATGAGGGTTCTGCTCTCATTTAATCCTAATTACCCTCCAAAGGCCTCACCTTCCAATATCATCATATTGGGGGTGGGAACAGTTTCAACATAGGAATTTGGGGGGGCACAAACATTTGATCAATATATTCAGCTCCTTAATCCCCCCAAATCATGTCCTTCTCATATGCAAAATACGTTCATCCATTCCAACAGTCCCAAAACTCTTAACTCTTTCCAGAATCAACTCAAAGGCCTAAATTCCCATGTTTCATCTAAATATACAAATCAGATATGGGTGAGACTCAAGGTATGACTTATTTTACAGCAAATTTGCCTTCAGCTGTGAACCTATGAAACCAAACATTAATTTGCTTATAAAAATATGACAATGGGACAGGCATAGGAGAGAGTCCCATTCTGCAATGGAGAAGTAGGAAAGAAAAACAGGAGTGACA